GGGGGACAGAGGTGGGCGGGTAGAAGAGTGAGGGACAGAGGTGAGGGGGCAGAGGTGGGAGGGGCTGAGGTGGGAGGGGCAGAGGTGGGAGGGGCAGAGGTGGAGACTCTGGGGATGGGACTCCTGAGCCAGGCCTCAGAAGTCACAGATCATGGCCACCTGCCTCCCACAGGCCACACGAACCCCAGGTGCAGGTGTGCCCAACTCAACTCCTTTCCCGCAACCACCAGACCAGACTGAGGCAGCTCCTGGAAAGGTTCAAGGACTCAGTCACAGAGGTCCTCAGACAAGGATCCATGCATTTACGAAAGAAATGGTGCCCAGCAGCGTGGGAAGCGGCTCCCCAGGGCAGGAGGGGTTCAGCCGGCAGAAATGGAGTGGTAGTTGCCAACAGCCCCGGGAACCCGGGCTTAGTTGGGGGCCACCACCCTGTGCCCTCCCCAACAGCAGTGAACACCGCCTGAGAGGGCACCATGCCACCCCGATAACCCCACCCCACCACACAGGCACTGCGGTCATCCCCAGCCAGGCGGGGAATCGGAAGCTCAGTGAGGTGGAGGTTGGCTGTGGCTGAGTCTGGTGTGGAACCCAGTTCGGGAATGACATGTGGCTAAAGGGGGCTGGAAGGGAGGGGTCGGTGAGCCGAGCCAGGGCCTGAGCTTAGCACAACCAGGCACTGTCACCCCAGTCCCAGCCTCCTCACTTTTGAGAATCCTGGGCAGGCGCTGCTGGTCAGCTTGGCCGTGCAGGGACCTGGCCTGGATCTGTGTCTGGACAGTTTCCCAGGGAATCCCACAGGCTTCAGGGGTGGCCCACTGACTCCACCCCCAGAGGGGCTTCCTCTACCACCAGCCCCACCACCCTGGCACCTCGCCTCCCTGCATTACCCGACAGCATGAAAAGCCTCCAGCACTGGAAGCCGCCCCGATGGGTACTGCCACTCTTGGACTGCTCTAGCCCCGGCCACCCTGTGCTCCCAGGCAGCCCCAAACCTGCCCACCTGGGCTGTGGTGGCAGAAACAGTGGCACAGTTGTCATCCCCCAGCTGCTCAAGAGGTGGGGGAACCCAGATGCTTCCAGGGGCCCAGGAAGGGCATCTGAAAGCAATTTTTCCGTCCGGGAGTTCCAGGGGTGGAGGGGACCAGGCAAGCCCCTGGAGTCGGCAGGTTTGGTGCCAAATCCAACACCTGACTGGGCTCCAGGCACCCCGGTCTGATGGGGGCAGGCGGGGACCTGAGGCTGGGGAACATGTGGGCCATGTGGGGACCCTGATCCTCACCCCCAGCATTGCTCCCACCCCAGACCCGCCCCTCAAACGCTCCCACCCCAGACCCGCCCCTCACATGCAGGACGTTCTGTGGCCACCACTCAGAGCCACAGACCTCAGTGCTGAAAGAGGACTCTGGGCCCTGGTGGTTTCAAAGCAGAATCTTTTCTGGGAGCCCAACATGTCACACACAGGAAAGTGGGGCTTGGCCTGAGGGGCAGAGGGGTGCGTGCGAGGTAGAGTGGTGCGTGTGGGGTACAGGGGTGCCTGCGGGGCAGAGGGGTGTCTGCAGGGTAGAGGGGTACCTGTGGGGCAGAGGGGTGCCTGTGTGGGGCAGAGGGGTGGCCTTTGGGACAGAGGGGTGCCTGTGGGACAGAGGGATGCCTGCGGGGTTAGACCCCACGTTACCCTCCCCAACTTCCATGGCCATTCCTGAGGAATTCTGCAAAGCACAGCTTGGGAACCCGAACCTCATTTTACACCACAGGGCACTGAGGCACCCAGAGGGCAGGCATCTGGTTCAGACTCACAGCATGGTAGGGACCCACCCTGGGAGGCACCCCATGGATAACCGGCACTTGCTGTCTGAATCAACCAGCACTAACCAGGGAGACAGAAGGACACCACACCCCGTCTCACGAGCACACACATACACACACACACGTGTGCACATACTCACGTGGGTGCATACACACACACACACACACACACACAGGACAGGGGCACCTCAGGCCATCGGAGGCAGCCCCGGCCTGGGGGATGGAAGCCGGTTCTGGCCAGCACAGCTCAGTCACCAGCTTCAATCCACAGACCCTCTGCTCGAACTGGGCGCTCAGCCCTGAAGTGGGGGTTGAGATTCCAACGCCTTCCTCAGGTCACTGG